GATGACTCATGAGTTAACTATGGATAATCATGATTGACAGACACACACACACACACACATGTATGTCATACTGTATTTGTGAAAAACAATCAGTCAAGCACCTGATAACATAAAATGACGTATGCTCCAACAGAGATTAAATTTATAAACACATTCATTAAACTCTGCGCTGGGCAGGCTTATTAGCTTTCATTACACTCATTGTTGCCCTAAAATACTCTGTCTGCCTCTGTAATGTTTCTTCTTCATGCTGCAATGCTGCTGTTTTCGTCTAGCAGCCGTGACATACCTGAGCTAATCAGCTATCACCCTCCTCTCCACTCAGCAATTAGAAAGGCTGCGAAATGGCTACTCTTCCCTCATGTGTCCTGTTTGATTCTGCCTCACCTCACGCAGCTTGTTAAATTTACATTTTACGCATTAAAGTGGCACTTTTACCCAGAGACATAGAATAAGTGGAGACGGATGGATGAGTCAACATCAGTGAATGGCTGTGATACTCCATTAGGTCAGAAGCTGGGTTCCTTTCTGTCTGGTGTTGTGAAATGGAAACAGGTTCTTTTTCTGGCACATGTAGCTGCTTTTCATGTAATGTTAGCCGAGGAGCGTGACAAAGAAGGTTGTCTGTACTCTATACATGAAACCTTTTCCAAGGAGTACACTGATGTGAGAACATTATGCCAGGTGTGATAGATGTCAAGTATGCATCTGTGTGTGCATCAGTGATTGAGATGTTTATACAGATCAACCATAACAACAAACATATATCAAGTAAAATGTAATGTAGCAAGAGCCATTGTAAAATTTTCCTTCAGCGAGTGCAGCATTGCTAGCTATAGCATAAAGTGACTCATTCATAACCAAGCCAACCTCAGGTATGGTGATTATATTTTGTTCATCCCTATCTTTTTCACTTTTTCTTTTTTCTACCTAATTCGCTCTTTCATCTGTTTTTGACCTGCAAGCTCACAGCCTGTGTCTGCACAGGAGTTGAAGTGAATTGATTTGGCAATGTAGTTTCATGTCAGGCCTTTGACTTTTTAGCCAGAGGCTGAGAATTGCCTCTTTTTTTAATCCAGTTTTTTTTTTTATGTGAGGTGAAACAGGGCTGCCAGAGTCTCATTAGAGTTGCAAAAACCAATATCTGAATCTTGCGTGCCTTCGAGTGTCTCGCAACTTTTATTTCCTGTTTTTAGTGAACACTTAGGCCTCAGTGTTATGAAGGGGTGGTGGCGGGGAGGGGGTGTGTTGGAAGAAAAACAAAATAGAAGGAAAAATCAATCAGTCTACCCTCCACCCTTATTAGATATTCAGTCCCATTCAGGCACACTTCGATCGTTTCAGTTTTTTTTTTAAGTATGCACGCCAATTCATTTCAGTATGTCTGGGAGAATAATAGTTCACATTCCTCAAGACTGCTCCCTAATCTCATAGAGAGAAGGAAAGATGGGGAAAGAGAGAAGGACAGGAAGAGAAAGGGTCAGAGAAGGGGGAGGGTAAAGACAGAAAAAAGACTAAAAGACATATTGGCATGTTAACAGTCAAATCACATTAAGAGTTTGTGTGGCTGATGCTGTCTGCCAACTTATTCAACACAAGAGCTGTGACTGCATCAGAGAGCAATAGTGCGCCCACTCATGCAGTCACAGCAGAAATACACAAAGCAAAAAACAACAGCAAACCCTTAAGATTCAAGCACTACAGTAGCTATGACAAATTGCAACCTCCAAATTAGTTGTTTTGCTCCACATTTTGCTGCATGCACTTTGCTAGATTAGCAGTAAACAGCAAGGCTAAAAGGTAAGCCTGTTTAGTATGGCAGAATCCTCATGGTGCACCTGAGCTGCCCGAGCCTCACACTAAACCACTGTCTGTGCTCTGAGGTGAAGTACATACGGTGCAATTAAATACCGTCATGATAATCAACAGTAGTGAAGCAGCACTTTCCTTCCTACAAAATAAATTGCTTATATTACATGTGTCTGGCAACTTTTATCCTGTAAAGGCTAGAGAAAATTTCAGAAAATGGTAAAAGGTAAACTGGATTACTAGCATGCAATCCTAAATAACAAGATGTTTATTTAAATTTCAACACATTAATTTGTTAAATATCACTCTTGGATAGGGTTGGACCAGCTGTGCATACACTGAGAATTATGTGTGTTTTAGAGGTAGTAGTATTCCTATAATTTAGAATGGGAAATATCTAATTATGCTAACCTATGGGGGGGGGTGTTGAAAATATTCCATACATCTACTAAACAACATTGTATTAAGTGTCATGGCAGAGGCGTACATGTACACCATATCCCATTTTGTCTTTAACAGATCAACAGTTTAGGCTATTAGCAAGTTCTCATTAGCTTTGTTAGCTACATAAATATCAGCTACACTTGGCAATTAGTAGGCATAGTGGGTATTAGTTGGCTTTGGCTCAGGGGTAAAGAGATCATCTCCCAACTGGTTGGAGGTTCGATTCATAGTTCATGCAGTCCACATGTCAAAGTGCCCTTGGGCAAGACACTGAACCCCAAGTTGCCCCTGATGGCCAAAGCAATGCCCTGCAGGGACCGTGCTACCATCGGTGTGTGTGAGTTGGCATCACAGTTGGCTGCCTCGGTTGTGTACCACAGACAAATTCCTTGTGTGTAACATACTTGTTCATATAAAGTGATTATCATCATTATCATAAATATTTAGAAACAAGTAATCTCTATGTCAGAACTAGCTTGTGTAGTGTAACTCAGTACAAGGTATAAATAAATAACCTTTATGCAGTTTTCCACTTTTTTTTCTGTTTTCTTTTTTTGTTTTTGTCCATAGGGTTAGGGTTGGTATTTTTCTGCCATAAATGAATTAATGCATTTATGTTGAGGTGGGAAGAGAAACGCAGTTGAGGCTGTGCTTATGCTGATTAGGCAGTGCATTGCAATTTTGGTGCTTGTTTCGACCTGAAATAGTGACTGAGATAACACTTGCTCAGATGATCTTTTTTCAGATTCATTGCAATTTTTGAAACAATGGTCTACGACAGGAGGCACTAGAGCAGGTATCTAAATGTATTTTAATGGCCACACCAACTGAAAATAAACTGTTAAATCCACAACAGAAATCCACTGTGAATGATTTATTGTGAAATTATCTGAATTGTGAAAAATGTATGATAATTTACAAAGATTATTTTCATATCAGATAACTAAACTAGCCCTCGGTATGTAGCTATAGATGTCAATATGGTATAATGTAGGTAATAATGTACAGTACTCTGCCTCTCTTCCACATTGTGCCTGGTTACACTTGGCTGTGCCCAGTATGCGCTGGTGGTGACCAAAGTATGGACACACCACATGCGCTTTCCCCTGGCATTTAAACTTGCGTTTACTACTGCACCCCGTCTCGGGCGTTTCAGAGTTTCAGCGATTCACTAAATCAACTACCTGGCATAACATGAAAAAGCTGATTTTGGAACAACTGTAGATAACATTAGCAACTCAGAAACCCAGATTGCAGTAAGAGTGTTTGTTTTCTTAAAGTCATTAACAATTAGCAACTTTTCAGGACATCACTGCATCACAGCGGGAAAGATCCTGGAAATCCATTCTTTCCATCTGGGCTTCTTATGAACTAATGCACAAAAAAGTAGATTAGAAAAAAAAATGAAAGAACTTGAAAGAATGAAAGAAGTTTGTTGATAAAATAATTTAAAATTCCTGTCCTTCAATACAGAGTACATAAAGTACATTATTTGTGCTCTTTGTCAATAGAACCAAAGGTCTTAACAGTGATTACCTGACCTTGAGTTACCAACTGCTCTCCAGGCTGCGCTTGAAAGGTGCACTGAAGGTATTGAAGTGCTCATACCCACAGTGAAGTGCAGTTTGAATTCAGTAGATGCAAAGTGACCTTTTCCTGAGCTTATACTTAACAACTTGGTAGTAACTGGACCTACCGGCGTAATCATTCAAATATTTTCCAATTTTATTTGACAGCTTGACGTACTTTGTCCTTAAGCAGAGTTTAAGGACATAGCAGAAGCCTGGCGCAGCCTATCTAATCAGGTCATATGAGATAACAGATTAGGGGGGAAAGGCAAGAGGAAAAGAAGAAGAGTGGAGAGAGTGAGCAAAATGGTGAGCAAGAGTGAGGAGGGTTTCTGTCACATGCTCAGCCATGTCCAAACCTGTCAGAAAAAGGGGCCAGAGTTGGAGGAGATGGCTGGCAGAGAGGCAATCAATAAACTCACATTTCATACTGCACTGTGTGTGTGTTTGTGTGTGTGTGTGTGTGTACTGTCACTGTGTGTGTTTGTTGCATCAATTTTTGAACCAGCTTGTTGTGAGCAGTTCTTACCAGACATTACCACATGTGCTACGCTACATGTTTTTTTATTTTACGCTCCTCCAGTCCTCTTTAGCACCAGGGAAAGTCCAGCATCAGTCCAAAATTAACATATGTATGAAGTCCATGGGTTCTTCTGTTTCAGAGCTGTCCTCAGTATCGTGAGCTGAACTCATTGTGAAGTAAAAATGTTAAGTATTCTGCAAGTCAAAGCCCAATTAATCTTCCCTGTAGACACCCCAGACAGTGTCTGTTGATGGCATGATAAATTAAAAGCATGGTCCACATGTTTGCGCTCTGACTTTGGAGAGAGTTGCTTGTGCTCAGTCATATTGATTGAACCATCCAGGAGGATGAGGCAGGTACATGCTGACAGTTTCAGGGTGGACTTTCGCATTCAAGCCAGTTACTTAGCCGCCACTGCTTAAAGGTGGCCTAAGAGAGAACAGGTATAACTTCTTTGTTCTGTCCTTACTGAATCTTTAATGATGCGATACCAGCACCTGTCCTTTGTAACTGATTGCAATTGATCTGCTTCACTGATGACTTTGACTTTACAGTCTCCTGTCTTTTCTCCTCTTCTTTTCCCACATTCCTCTTCTCCTCTTTTCTCTTCCCTCACTTCCTCTTCTCTCTCCTTCCATCTCCTCCTCTCCTACCAGGCCTGTAGATTCTGCTGAAACCTCCTGTAGTCGTTTTTGCAACATTGAAAAGCAACGACTTATCTCTCCCACACAACCCAGGCTTAGGAGAAAAGAAGAAGAAGATGGCAAAAAAGAAGAAGCAAGAAGATTTCTTCTCACCATGAAAAGTCAAACAAGAATACACACACATTCCCCAGCCGTGTCTACAGCTATATAAAACCACTTGGTGTTTTTTAAAAGATTTCTCACTTATTCTCTAGCCACTCTCATCTCCTTTTCTTTATCCTTACTTTCCTTGCAGTCCTTTCCCACTTTCCCTCATCTCATCTCTGCATCTATTCCTGACTTGATTTGACTGTCTTTGATTTTTTTTTTTTGACCTCTCTCCTCTACATTTTATATTTCCAGTTTTCAACGTATTCCATTTTAGCACCATACCATTACGCTGGCAGTCAAGCATTGGGTGTTCATAGCAAAATGCCACATCAATAGGAGATACTTGAAACAACATGTATATTGATAGTATATTTTAAAAAAGCTATAAATGATTTAATATTGGACCTCACCTTCAAACCTCGTGTTTTCACACAGTTCATCCCTTGCTTTCTTTTCCTCCTACTTCCCTGTTTCCTCTCTGTTGCTCTGTTTTCTTTTCCCCTCAGTTCCATCCTTTCCTTCCTTCATTCTCACCATGCATAGAGTCCACCCCACTATCTATCTGCCTCTCCTTCCCCGACTCCCCATCTATCTATCGACCTCGCTCTATATCTTGTTGGGCCAGGGAACACTGCAGAGGCTGAGGTACTGTCCTAGTCGGGGAAGAGCATTGACTTCTTGATGTGTTCCTTTCTTTTCTCATCACAGACTGTGGTTGATCTTGTTTCCTTCTTTAAACGGAGAGAAAAAGTCTGTTTTCTTTGTCTGCAGTGATCGTGGTCTTTTAGGACAAGGTGGTAGCCATAAGCCTTCAAAGTCAAACTCAATGGAGTCGTTTCTCGATTTGCTTTTGTTTTTATTGCATTAGTTGTCATGGAGTGGAAAACAGTATAACTTTATGGTAACAGTGTAAACCTTAAAAAAGTACTATTATATAAATATTTTATTTTTTACCATTGTATAAATATACAGTATTGATTAACTTATGTATTTTGATTGCAAGTTCTTTGGTCGCCCACTCAGTAAGTAAATAATAAAGAGGAAACCTTTTTTTTTCTGTGGATTTTAGCCAATATTTTTAATGTTATCGATGTGTTGACTATTTTATTGTAACACCTTTTTATTGTTTTGTTTGTTTTTTTACTTTTGAATCTCTCATTAATTGCAGAATCAGGAGTCTTGTTTTGAAGACAGCCACGTGTTTAGGTTCGATTTTGTCTCCTGTGAAATCTGCCCTCTCCTGTTCTCTCTCCATCTGTCATTACAAGTCACAAGAAGATGTGTAAGAAATGGTTTTGGTGCGTAGATTTGCTTTTTTTCTCTTGCGCTCATCAAAAGAAGGCAGCGTGTGGGTTTGCGGGGAAGACCACCTTCAAGAAAAAGATGACATTTTGAATGAGTTACATCTGTCTTTTGCACTAATTTAATAAAGCTGTTACTGAAAATTCCAACAATGCTATTTTGTAAATTGCACGTTAACTGAAATGCCCTGTTATTGCAAAGGAGGGAAGTTGTACAGATTTTTAGTGCAAGTGCTAGAATGTCATTAACATCTTTACGTTTTTCCATCTTAGGCACTTAAAGGAACTGTTAGACATTTCTGAATATACACCAGGAGGAACGAGCAGCTAGCCTGGCTTTATCCATAGGTAAAAACAGCACACCTAAAGCAGCATGTGTAAAGCTCTAAAGGCACAAGTGACAACAACATTTCAGGATGTTGCCGCTCTTGGTGTGATGGTTACAGCACACTACGTTACAGTTTTTTGTCCAGAAACGTTTGCACTTTAGCGGGAGCTGTTTGAGGTTCTTTGTGCTAAGCTAAGCTAAGCTAACTGTCTCCAGGCTATAGCGTCATCCCTAATAGATAGACATGAGAGTGATAATAATCTTCTCATTTAAGCAAATAAGTGGTTTTCCCAAAATGCTGAACTGTTCCTTTAACAGATTTTAAGTTTTCATCTACATTCAAGAATACAATGTGTGGAGGCTTGTTACCGGATTTGTTTTTGATTGCTCAGCTAATGATTAGAAGTTAGACATACATGCACCTTTATTGATTTTTAATGTTCTTGTACTGCATTTCCTATGATAATTTAGTAGTTAAGCAAAGTCGTGTTTTTTCACGGGTTTTCACTGGGTGACTGCATTTGGTTGGTTGGATTTTTATTTCCTAAACAACAGATGAACTGATCACGTAATGTATAATGCGAAAGGGGTTGCTTGTAGTAATGAACCCACTGAGAATGGTCACCCAACTGCCTGCATATCAACTGTAAATCTCAACATTCTGCACCATCATTTGTCATCTATAATGGTTTAGCTTTACACCCTGCTACAGTATTTTACTATTTTGGTTCCCATCAGTACCAATTTCAGACACACCACGCAGCCAGTTTCAGAATTAAAAAAACAACGATTAATGCCACTGTACGCTACATGCTGCAAAGTAGCCAACAACGTTCATGTGTAGCCATTGAGCATAGTGGAGCAGTTAGCAGGTAAATATCAGAAGAACTAATCTGGGAATGTTTGACTTATATTACATTAATCATGATACTGGATAGATGGCTCCAATGAATACTACTGTTAATGTCTGTGACTACTGGATGTATAAACTGGCAACAGTTCATTATCATGATTTCTTAACTGCTCCCCAGTTTTTTGTCTGTTTGCTTTGTAACTAGAAAAGTTCTACCCGATACTTAAAGTTTCAAAAAGCAGAAATGTTTCTTTTTGATGACAGGTTCAGTCAGCACTGTATGAAATCAGCATCTGGTTTACTACTGAAATAATTCAACAGTTATCACAGAACAATATACCAACATAGTTTTTAATCCCAGGAGCTCTAATAGAGAGCACTTTGCCTGTTCGTCCAGACTAAACAATAAAAACGATATCCTGCTCAAGGGTCTCTGGGTTCAGTAATTGCTGATAGGGTTTTAAGAGGTCAGTAAACTACGTTTGCATGTGTTTTTAAAGTAATCAATAGCAACGAGCAACACTGGTTTTAAAAGGCACTTTTAGCTTCTGAGAAACCAATGCAGAGACACTACAGATGCGTAGATATGATAAGAGGAGTTGTAGATTGCAGCTTTTTGGCAGCATCTTGAATAAACATTAGCAGTGAGGAGGAGTTTGGGGTGACACATGGGTTCAGAGAGTGTCAGGGAAGATAAATGTATGAATGAGTTAGAGAGTATAATATTAAAATTTTAATTTTCAAAATATGTGAGCTGCAGAAAATATGGTAAAGTCACACAGCCCTTGTTAAATCAGAATAAAAGTACACATTAGGGTTTCTTACAGAAACCTGTAGTTATAAGAGCACACATCTCCTTAGGGTTTGGAAAACAAAGGAACAAATTCTGATGTTCTGCGGTTTACTGTTTTTAGTATCTAAAAGACACTAATGCAGAAAGGTGATCAATCAACTGTCAAATGGGTTTTTGAAAGTATGTTTTATGCACATAATGGTTGAAACATGAATGTAGCACATGACCATGAAATTAACATGTGAATCCCAGTGCAAGCTACCAGCCATTTTTTGGTTTTGTTTCAACTTTGCATCTATTAATCCTCAGTGTGTCAGGGTTAGCGGGCTCGGTCCATGCACTGAAGGGATGCCATCTACACCAAAACCAAAAAACCTCAATGATGTTGGGAATGAAGGATGAGGTTTTTTAGAGGTACCACTGTAGTTGCTACAAATTAATAGAAAATGGTCATATCTTTAAGAAGCACAAAGTTTTTTCACTCTAATGACTAATGTTAAAGGTAGTGGGAGCAGCGTCTTAAGTTACAGCATGCTGGCAGAGATCTGGTTTAGAGCTTCAAAGGTTCCTGATGATTAAAAGGTGTCCACAAGGATGGGTTAGGACAAAGCTGCCTGTATACTTCTTCAGAAGTATAAAAATAAGATATACTGTAGCTTCAGAAATCCATTACCCCCACAGTTGTTCTGACGATCTGACACATAAGTCTACTTCAAGCCCTGACGGACCAACTGTGTGAAGATGAGAAAGTCTCAGGTCTGAATTCCCTTCCCTAGTTCTCTTTTTTCATTCTTGACACAGCTATTTCTGTCACTTTTCATATGAACAACCAAGTGGAAAACTATGAATACCTTCTAGATTTGATGATCTGAAAATGTGTACCATTATCCCCATATTTGAACAATGTAGCATTTACATGCCTATGACAGCCAGCTTCACGTCGCCTTTCAGTGTGGCCCTTCGAAACAGCTACAATCATTTTTCTGATAACATGTCATACAAATTGGCAGAACCTGACCCAAGGTGTCAAGAGGTTTTTTTGTCATTCATTTTCTTTAAAGTGCCATCATGTCCAGCCATACTTGTTTGATAGGAGTAACAGCTAAGGACAGGACAGGAAGGAGTTTCAGGCTTGATGTCTTCATTCATACTTGTTGCCCTTTATGCACGCTGCACCATAATTCTCTGCAAATGTTGCCCTGCAGCTTTGATCTTGATCACACTGGTAGTGACAGCAGACTTTTTTAACAGTCAATTCACAAGAACAAAACACTTGTGAAAGTGTCTGTGATAGCAGGCATGTGGCCTTTCTCATGTAAAACATGTTGCCAGGCTGTTTCAACACATTAGCCCTGGGCTGTGGAAATGAAGAGCATCCCACTCAAAACTGTTATGTAAGGCCTCATATACAGCCCAGTAAGTATTTGAACAGTTACACTTTTATTTTTTTAATCCTTTAGGCTCTATGCTTTTATTAAACTGCGTGTGGGATGTGACCCAAAATTGTTTGTTCTAGTCCATGAACAAAAGAACTCATACAGCAGAGTTGAGAGTTGCCTTCTAGATTGAGTTGGAGTTGTCTGTCAGTATGAAGAGTAAGGATGTGACCATGCAAGTGAAGAAGATAATAATGAGGCTCAAAGAATAAAAAATCTTATCAGGATATCCAAGGTGGTTGATTTCTCAAAATCAGCAGATGGGCACAAAAAATCAGGTTTGCACAGTAAAAGTAGAAAATGGCAAAAGACCTGGTAGACTGAGGAAAGCAAGTCTTGTGGATGAAAAATCATTGCCTCTAATCAGCCTCTATCACAATGGAAAGACAAAAGTGCGAATACAAAAAGGAACAGCTTATGACACAAAGCATATCACCTCCTCCATCAAACATGGTGGAGTTTCTATTATGGTTTGGACATGTATGGCTGCTAACATTGACATTTCCATCTGCGGCGCCCCAGTAAAATCATACATTTGAGTTTTATCAAGCTCCTAGATTTGGCAGTAGATTAATTTATATTGATAATAATGGGAAAAGAACTGCTTTGTAATTCAAATCCAGAATGTCCAAGCAAAATACAAGCTGAGGCGCAGTGATCAGGGTTTATATACCAGAGTGTGTGCACGTATGTACGTTGCACACATTGTGTACTGCAATGCACACACCGCAGTCCATGTACTGGTGGGTGAAACAAAAGAAAGGAGTGGACTGAGGTATGTAACATGGATTAAATTAAGTTTTTTTTAATAATAATAATGATCTTATTTTGACTCAAACATTAATGACTTCTCTAGATGGATGTAAGAAAATTCTTTAGAGGAGGCTGAGACATGAGAGAAGTTCAGAGAAATGAGGGTGAGAGAGGTAAGACCTGGCTGTAGTTGTAAACAAGGTAAGGTTAGTTTAGTTAGCTAGTATGTAACAAAGGCCAGATGTTGAATGTGAAGTAAGAGCTCTGTACATCCTAAAATGCTATTTATAGCATTTTATGTACTGGCCTATGAAATAAAATGAAAGCCAAGTATGTTCCATGATACACATGTAGTGGTTTATGTTAACTTTGGACTATTCATTCTGCATTTAATGAATAGCCCATAACATAATATTTGATGGTCTTATCACACAGTCCAAACGATGTTTGCTTTATGCACATTTGACAAACAAGCCTGAAGCAGGAAGGTAAAGTGTGGAGGAAGCTGTCTGTGTTTGTGGATACAGCTGTGTGACCAGCAATCATCCATTGTATAATATGATTTCAGAGTAATTGGAGCTTCAATATGTTATCTGGCTTTATAGGTTACAAAAAATGATTAGATTGTGTCTTTTTAGGACTCAGAGATGTACTGGAAGTCAAAGGTGTACAGGTGACCACCCATTCAGACACATCTCTACAGCCGCACAAACTGCGGTTTGTCTCATGTCTTCCAGAACACCGAGACCATCTTCTGACTCAGGCTAAGGTTAAAGAGGTGCTGTAGAATCCCACACAGCACAGTCTGTCAGGACTCCAGGACTGGGCTCTGCAGCCTTGTTACGGTTCAGTCTCTCCAGCTACCTCATCACCTGGCAGCTGGAAGCAGAAGCCCTTTTTATACAGAGATCATTGCAAACTGACATTGTGTTTCACTTTTTCAAGGCGACTTTTTTTGTACACTGAACTAAAAAAAAAATACATTACATTATTCATCAGGAAATGTGTAAACATTTGGTCATAGCAACTGAGCAGCTTTTCCAGGGCAGAGAGGGTGAATCACCTGAACTCAATCTGACTAAGCTGTACTTCAGGTACAGAATTTAGACTAAAGGCAGAGAGAGGATGGGCAGCAGTGTGATAGAAAGAGAAGTAGGTGGTCAAGGCAATGTTCTCAATGTTTCTTCTTAGTAGACGTTTGAATGCAGAGGTAAATCTCTAAATGCTTAAAAAAGTACCCAGAGAAAAGTGACTGAGGTCTAGGACTGATGAAATGTAAAATGTGGCTATGAATGAGTGTGACT